AGAACCCAGCTTCTGCATTATTCAACGCAACACTCCCTCTTTTGGAGTTTCCAATTTAAGGAACTTTTTTTTTCCAAACCTTCTAAGGACCCGACGAAATATAAAAAGTCCATATATATATTCCTCAACTCCTCTCGGTATTGGGTTGCCTCAAAAGTCCAAAAATCAGAACCCAGAAGATGGGCATAGAAATGAGGTATGGGAGAGGGGGTGGTCATACGTCAAAACTGCAACCGCGACGTCGAGTGACAGGACTCATATTACTTACCTCCTTGTTGACGTCAAACGAGTTTTGTCATTTTGCTGAAGCGAGGGCCCATGTTATAAATGACGAAGCGAAAGTGCAGGCTGCCCCCTACTCTTTTTGTGGAAATTTTTATTTTTCATAGGTTTTTATTTTCCGCAAGTGACTAGTGTTTTAAAGTGTTTTTACTGGAAAAAGAGAAGTAAAAAGAATTTTTCCAGTCCTGCCACGTATGGAATGGAAGAGGAGTATAGAATAACAGAATGTTTGAAAATATACTTTTATAAACGTTGCATTCAAGAAGTTCGATTAGGAAATAAACAGTTTGTTAGGTGCAATGTCAGATCAAACATTCGAGGAATAATTGTTTGGGATTTTTCTTCTATTTTGAACTTAATTCAAGTAATAAATGTTAGTAATAGATAAAAATCTCAAATAAGTAGTAAAAGAGGCGAAAATAATTTAGTCGTTAAATATAATATTTAAAAAAATTGGCTTACGTTCAGTTACGTCACAAGTAGATGTGTCGTAGACAAATTTTACACCTTATTTTATAAATGGCGTTAAACAGTCGGGTTTATCACTTGTTGGGTTTATCATTATTAATGTGCAACTCTGTAGCCTTGTAATTTTTTACCCAACCCAGGAGACAATGGGCATTCAGAAGAAAACAACGAAAACGTCCCACTGTTAGTCCGACGGCAAGAATATTCTAACTAATGATTCATTTATCCCTGAGGATATTTTACGACTGCACTGTAGTTGGTCCGAGCTGAGAGCAGTATTTGTATCGAATTGACAGCCAACGATGATATTGAAACCAAGGTCACCACATTGGAAGGAGAGCGCTGTATTCCCTGAGCAACTGTAGGCAAATTGAAAACTCCTTCTTTTTGCTTCCGAAGTTCTGTAATGAGCCAAGTTAACTGGAAAAGTCAGAAGTGTTTTTCAATAATCAGCCTGATAGTTTTCAGTTTTAGTGCAATCAGTTCATTAACCTTTAAACTAAGTAGACAATATGTAACTCATTGTCATCTATTTTAAGCTTTTTGTTGCAATGAGCTGAGTAACGTCTAGGCTTATTTAAAAGAATTCAAACAAAAGATTAAGTTACAATTAAACCAACCTCCGACCATTCAAAGCACCAGCTGGGATAAGCCTATGTAAATTTTTGGCTATTTATGTAAATATCTACACATTTTCCAACCAGCTTAAAGGAATATGGGCTGGTTGTAATAGGCCTAAGCTTTATCATAGTGAACAGAAAATGTTGAAAGCTTTTCCGAATAGTTTGCCATATTGCATAATGACTGTCAATAAGCCAGATTTTTCATTTCCCTGACATATATCTTTACCCACAAACCAAGTAGATATCTATAATTTGTATAATATTTGTGTTAAACGTTTAATTGCTCCACTTTAAAGATTTTTTATTTTCAAAATAATTAAAATAAATCCAGAAACAATACCTTATGATGGAAAATGAGTTAACTAATTCTGCAGCGACTTGTTGGAATGTTTCTTAATCCCCACCTTTGGAATTCATTTTGTCTTTTTCTAAAATGCAATAAAGATATATGCACATTAAAGATTACACAAATTTATATGTAAGCAAATAAGATATAATAAACAATATCGAAATCTATCGATTCAGTATTAGGAATGGTTGGATTGAAGATATAAACCAGTGTAATTGCTTTTTGATAACCTTTCCCAAATTTCCTTTCATTTTCACCTGGTAATGAAACAAGTTTTAACATACCAATCCTTAAAGGAATTTATTAGATTTGAATAGTGTTTTTGTTTTATCCTTTATAAAATATTAATTTGATCTCTTTCGAAGTGCATTTTTTTTCCATCAATTTCATTTTTACCAAAGATTCTAAATATAAACAGTAAGGGTGATGATTGCAGAACTCCCTGTGTTTAAGTGACTCCTCCACCCTTACTATTATATGAGTTGTGCTGAATTTTTCATTGGACAACTAAATTATTCACTATTTATGATCATGAAATGTGCGTGAGTTCATTAATTGTGTCGCTAATTTATTCATTAAATATGCTCTTGAATGTTTTCTCTAAATACATTGAGATGACGAAGTGGCTCAGAGGATGGAGTACTCACCTCCCAATGTCCGTCCCAGGTTCGATGTCCAGCGATGGCTGTTCGATATGAATTCCGCATCCGGGAAGCACCGACCACCCTGCGGACGTAAAAAATATTCCATTTCTTAGACGGTCCCTGGGTTAGAGTCCCCTTGCTGTCAGGCTAACCGTGGGAGGTTTTGTGGTTTTCCTCACCATGTAACGCAAATTTAGTTTACTTCCATCAAATGTCCTCCACGATGGCTAGCGCTCGCCTCCCAATGAGGCGAACCGGATTCAAATCCCAGATCGATACGAATTCCGCATCCGGTAAGCACCGACCACACTGCGGTTGTAAAATATCCTCAATGATAGGCGGTTCATAGTTTAGACTCTTATTGCCGCCAGACTAACCAAGTGTGGTTTTCGTGATTTTCCTCTCCATGTAACGCAAATGCGGGTCAGTTCTATCAAAAAGTCCTCCGCGAAGGCAAATTTCTCCCAATACCTGATACAGGAACTCCCTTGTTTCCTAGGTTAGGTTCAAAATTACAAGGCTATAGAGTTGAATATCTATAATTGTAAATTCAGAATTGAGACAGCTGTTTAACGTTGATTATAAAATTAAAATAAAATGCATTGAGCTGTTTTAAACTATAACATTCCCTTTTTGCATTTATGTTTATAACAAAATAAAATTTGCATGACTACTGTTTTTTAATGAATCAAGTAACATATAATAATTCAATTGAAATGTTGCTTAATTTTGTTTGTTTTTTAAATTTGCAAAAACCTCAATTAATTTTGGATACAAAATTAATTGATGTTATATCATTTCGGGGCACACATTATAATTTTTACGCAAGAATAATTCCAGCAATCATAAAAGAAATAAAATTTTTAAAAAAAATAATAAAGAGCGAAATTTTCTCTTCTACCCTTTCTTGTCACTCGCAAACAAATGCTAACCTCAAAAAGGAAGGAAGGGGTAGGGGAAAGACTTATGTCAAGTACAGGGGGCTAACCTATGATCTTTGGTTGCGTCTTGTTTCATGTTTGATGTGGAATGAAGGGATGGGGGAAATGGCAAAAAAGGGAGATGTTACAATTGTGAAGAGGGAGAGGGAAAAAAAATGCGAGGGAGTAAGATATGTATCCGGATCAGTAAGGGAGAAAAGGGGATAGCAATTTCAAAAAACTACACTCTCGTTTTCTGGTCAAAATGAAATGCATATGCACGTGACACTTGCATATATGCATGGTATTGCATCATTGAAGCATGCATACTTTCGTATGTTAAAGTTCGGACTTGCGTCTGAAAAATTTAATAGGGATCGTATACAAATAGAATATGCGGTTTCGAGTTTGGGTAAATATTTTTATCGATAAGAGATTTTTTAATGGAATACTTTATATCTTAGTAATTCAAGTGACTAAGATGCAGCAAATGCATAAAAATTTTTTGGTACGTAATGTGACGTACTAAAATAAGCGTATATAAAATGAACAGTGGATAAAAATTATTTGGCTAATTTTTTTTTTTTTTTACGCCAAGAATAAGATAATTATGTTATACATTAAAAATTATGCAGTAATATGTAAAAATACACAAAGAATATTCGAAAATAAATTGAAGCAATGTGTGGAATAGTTTTTTTTTTTTTTTTGACTTCGCAATCAAAACACAAAACTTCATAATCAAACATACAAAAGTGAAGCTATTTCATTAATTATATGAGTAGAGCCTGACTGATTGCGTGGAAATTCGCCTAAAATTATGAAACAAGGATGCGGCAATTTTTTTAAAAAATTATGTAAATAGGTAGCGGATGATCTGGAAAGCAATTAAAATAGGAAAAAAACTGATTTTAGAAAAAATGCACATTCAATTTTTTTCTTCCTGTTTTAATTTGTACAGTGTTTCAATTATTACAGTAAATATTCTAATTTAGTTACCCTTTATCTATCTATAACATCGGTAACGATAATAAAGTTTTATTTCATAATCATCTTTGAACAGCCGACCCAATTTTTTGGGTTTACGACTACTAATGTTCACCTAGGTATCTTTGTAATTTTGAACCCTATCCGGAAGACAAGATAACTTCTGGATCAAGTATTGGGAAAAATTTATCTTCGCTGATGACTTTTTAATGGAACTAACCCACATTGCATGGAAATGAAAACCAAGGAAACCTCCCATGGTTAACCTTACGGCAAGGGGACTTAAACCAATGATCCGTCTGCCACTGAGGATATTTTACGACAGCACTATGGTCGGTGCTAGCCGGGTGGGAAATTCGTATCGACCTGCCATCAGTGGAATTCAAACCGGTTCACTTTATTGGAAGGCGAGCGCTCTATCCTTTTTTTTACTAAAATTTGCATAAGTTTAATTTTTTCCTTCATTTTTTTTAGATCCCTTTTATTTTAGGAAGTTACGACTCTAAACAATTTCTTTTAAAAAAATATTTTCTTAAAAATTAAATGCTTTTATTTATATTTATTTGATTATTATGACGACGGATAAAAATTACTATTGTTGTGTTGTGATGTATATTAATTAAACACATTTTAGTTCAAAAGTTGTCTCAAGCACTATTTTCGCTTCCTTATTTTCGCTCGTGCTTGGAACAGTTAAGTTATTGATCTAGTTCAGCCTTGGCATAAATAAGCAAATTCATTTTTTTTCCTTTTCGCTTCCAAAATGTTTCAATTTATCTGTCGATTGTGGGAACGGCTAATAGGCCTTTTTTGGCTTGGAAGAGAATCTCGAATGGAAGTTGCTGTAGTTGGTTTACACAAAGCTGGCGTAACAACGTATGTGAACGCAATCTCCAAAATCGACTGCACTAAAACCAAAATGAGAAAGGTAAAGTATAGTAATACCTCAATCAAAGTTTGGGATCTTGGAGGCGACAGAAGATTTCGTCGTGGTGTGGAAAAATGCTGTCGTGGTGTGCATGCAATAATTTTCATGGTGGATGCAGCTGATGGCGAAAAAATGTCCAAAGCCAGGCATGTACTTCACGAATTGTTGCACAAGCCTCAGCTGATGTGCGTTCCTGTTTTGATAGTGGGCAACAAAACCGATTTGCCCAATGCTTTCAGTTCGGAAGAGCTTATAGACTATCTTCATTTAAATTGCGTCAAAGTTCGAAAAACTTTTTGTGCCATGGTATCTTGTAAAAAACGTGATAATATAGATATTACATTACAATGGTTAATTGCCTACTCTAAGCGACCCAAATAGTTCGCATTTTTACTAGTGAAGTTCATTAAGTTTTAAATAAATATAAGAATAAAACAAAACTTATGTGATTTGATTTTTAATGAATTTGTGTTAAATTTTACAGTTCTGAAACCAAGGCTTTCATTTCACTGCACTGAACTAGAATAAAGGATTTTTTTTTACATTGTTAAACATAACATTGTGGTGTTTTGGCCTCTTTGGCTATTTTTTCCCTTTTAATATCAGTTATTAGTAGTACTACTTTAAATGTCTTCACAATTCATAAATTATGCAACCATAACTATCATAAATATTCACTTTTTACTTCACATTGATTTTAAGATATGAAAAACGAAGAATGATTGAAGAAAGTAACCAACTCAGTGATAGTTTTTGAAACTTCTAAGTTTCTTAAATATTTTCTTTATTTTAGTTTTTCGACAGTTAGTTTATTTTTGTCGAAAAGTATTAGTAATTAATTTCGTCTGTTGTGATCAAGAAAGGATAAATTACGATATTATTGCCATTTGGCATCTGCTGAAATTTTAAAACTCTAGCTAGTCGAAAAGTGGACGAAATTTCCATTGCGAGTTTTGTGCCTTACAAACGGACACGGGAGTGATTTAAATATAACGTGGGATGAAAATTTTAATAGCATTCCTTAATTTAGTGTGCATAAAAATCATCAATATCATTAACGCGACAGCCTGGGATGGTCCTTGGCCTTCTTCAGAACATTTTTCTATGCTGCTCTTTGTCGCCAGGTTTTAACACTTCAGTACCATGGTTGCTTGGAAATTCACGTTCATGAGGTCCAGCTGTTGAATAATTTTTGGACGTCCTGAAGCTCTTCAACCCATTGGTTTATGTCTGAAAATCTGATCTGTTGGGCTAGTTGTATCTAAATGGCAAATGTGCCTTGCAAATCAATTCCTAATTTTTTCCTAATTTCCATATTTCCTAATTTCGTGCTCGTTTGTAGAAATATAATGGGATAAAATTGAATTAATCACGATTATTCAAAATCACTGTATTAAGGATTGGTAATTCTTCTACGTGGATATGAACGCAAATGAAACAATTATGAATTCTGCAACCAGATTTTTTTCACTTCTTTGGATAATTGTCTACAACTCTAACGGGACAGGCAACTGCTTTTCAAAATGTTGGATGAGCAAAAAAAAAAAAAAAAATCGTAAGTTTTCTACTTAAAAGCAGATACTAATTGATTTAAACACAATAATTTATAGAAAAATTAGTTCAAGTAAGTATTTCATTACCTTTCGGAAAAGAACCGTACAAAACCACTTTTCTCAGTATCTATATCAAAATTGCACCAATTACTATAATGCCGAAAGTGTCTGTTTCCGAAGTTAATTAAGCAGCTTTGGTATCAACAAAAAGCATGGCAATTTCAGACTTCTCTCCTAAATGAATTACTATCATTTCTCCATTAACTTAACTTTTTAGTATATAGCTCATTTTTTTAGTGCTTGTTGAGCCGTGGTGGCTCAGGGGATAGAACGCTCGCATCTCAACCAGGTGAGCCTGGTTCAAAATCCAGTGATAGCTGGGATTCAATTCCGTGTCCGGCTCGCACCTACTACAGTGCTGACGGATCATGGATTAGAGTCCCCTTGCCGTCAAACTAACCGTGTGAGATTTCCGTGGCTTTCCTCTCCATATAACGCAAATGCGGGTTAGTTCCATCAAAAAGTCCTCCATGAAAGCAAATCTCTCCCAATTATTGACCCAGGAGTTCGTCTTTTGGATTATGTTCAAAATTACAAGGCTACGGAGTTGAACATAGGTAGCAGTAAGCTCAAAATTGGTCGGCTGTTCAACGACTGTTACATAATATAAAATAAAATTAGTACTTGTTACGAATTATAATCAAATATATAATATGGCTTCAATAATAATATGTTGATTTTTTCCCTTATCTCCGAAACGAATAAATGCAATTTCTTCATAATTTTGTTTTTTTAATACATTGCTTGAGTTTTATTTCGATTAGTACTTATAACCAAAATTAATTAAGCATCATTTGCGTCAAAATTAGTATTGCGAGTTTTTATTTTTCTCCAAAACGAATTAATACGATTTCTCCATTAATTTTGTTTTATTTCGATTAGTACTTATAACCAAAATTAATTAAGCATCATTTGCGTCAAAATTAGTATTGCGAGTTTTTATTTTTCTCCAAAACGAATTAATACGATCTCTCCATTAATTTTGTTTTTTAGTACCTACCTTTATTTTTTTTTGCTTCAATGACAAATATTTCCATAATTAATTAAACATGATTGACGTCATAAATAGCACGGCAATTTTTTTTTTTTTGCGCTCCTCCTAAATGAATTAATATTTCTTCATTAATTTTGTTTTTTCTTGCATTATTTTTTCCCTTTTTTTAAAAATTTCAGTGAGTACCTATTATCGAAATTAATCAAGCATCATCGGCGTCAATAATAGTATGGCGTTTTATTAAAATTATTAATCCAGTAATTTCGCATTTTAGTACATAAGTTATTTTTTCTTCAAAAGTCATTGATTTACTTTTATAGAGACGCCTTTTTTAAATATGATTATAAACAAAGTAAACACGTGGTTTCATATAGCTTTAGAAATACTAATTTGGTGACGAAGATCGAATTTGTCACTGCGTTCACGTAGATCATTCCGTTTATCTAACATAATGAATAAAAAATGAATATTAAAAGAATGTGTAATAAACTCTATCTTTTAATGAGAGCCCTAAGTTAGCGAACAACACTGACGTAAATTTTAAAATATTTGAAAAAACCGAATCATCTGCAGTTTCATTTTTAGCAATTGCTAGCTCTAAACCAATGAAAATATTCAATTTTTCAAACATCTTTCCAGATCAATACAATTGGATACTTGAAAGTGACATCATTGTAGTTAAATCGTGGTATTTATCAGGTTCGAGACATACGAGTAACGTCGCTAACAGTTATCCAATTAAATCCGTTTAAATCACATGATTAGGGATAATAACTTCACTTCTCTCATTGTAACTATCCAATTGAAATTTTTAAGCAATTTTCAGCATGGCGGGCTAAAATTGCCCCTTTCACACACTGTCCAAATTTCAGGACGCTAACAGGAAAAATTCAGGTGTTATAAGAGAGAGACACAAACTTTTAATTTTATTATTATAGATAATTTACAACTGAGAAAAGGAAATATCGATACCAGCCAATGCTACAGATATTTTCTGTTGTCACCAGCACGATATTATTAAAAAGTTAATATTTTTCAACTTGTGTATAACGATTAGAAGCTAAATATTGAGAAAGTTGAAGCTTAAAGAGGTATGTTTTTTTCCCTATCAGTTTGTAAGCTATTAAATCGGTTTTATTTATCTTTTAACAAATTTTACATTTTACCCTGTGGTCAGTCAGCTGACGTGAATTTTAAATGCTATAAAATAAGTATTAAAGTTGTTGAGTTGTTGTTGTAATTATACGGATTCATTTAAATATTTTTAAACAATCATATTGGTAAACACATAATAAACAAAAAGCAATTAATATAACAGGCAATTGCATGGATGAAACCACAAGTGAATTAATCAAAAATATAATGGCAAAATTACTGATTTCGTTTGAAACCCTGTAGTATTTGAAAACAAAAAAAGTAGCAGTTTTCAGAAGTTTCTGATTTTTGATCAGTTTCGAAAACGAACAGTCGTCATAGCAACTGAAAATATTAGATGGCTCTCGTTGTTATCAAAGATTGAAACATTTATTTTTTATTAATGGGAAAATGAGATGAAAGGTAAACTTTAAGCAAGCAGCAGATTACCATCAATTATAACAATTTAAAATGTAAATGAAAAAAAATAAGAATAAATGAGGTCATTAAGTCATTAAACTTCGACTAGTATAGTATTAACTTGTATATATATATATAAATANCCAACACTTTATGTGAATAGTTACAAGGTATATATATATATATATATATAGCATAATAAATAAATGCAAAAAGAATAAAAAAGCGCAAAGAAAATTAAGAAAAATAGTAATTTTTATTTATTGCGCATAAGCTGCAAGTAAATAGAACTCATAAAATAAGTTCAAAATATGGAGTAAGCATGGAAAAGATTACAGAACAATGAAAAAAGGGGGAAAAAGAAAAATAATAATAAAAAAATAAAAATAATAAAAAAAACCGGAAAATAAAAGATTCATCAGCTCACACGATTATATCCGCGAAAAGTAGTGCTTTCTAATATTGTATCAATATAGCCAAAACAAAATATATCAATACAATAGTGTGAGAAGCACTCAAAAAATTTTTACAAAACAGTTACAACAAATAAAATCGAACACAGTAAGTAAAAATATCACGTCAAAACAGAAAGCAATTAATGTAACATATACATTATATATATTTATGTAATATGTGTGTGTAGAGCCGAAATATTAACCCTCGAAACATTTCAACAGCAACCACTATACCATCCCTTGAACATAAACGAATCAGAACCGTTAACACAATGTCGAGGACACAGTATAAAAAAAAAAGAAAAAAAAAGAAGGAAAAAAACTAATAGGAGAGACAAAATTCGTATATCTCTTCCAGACAGAAATGAATATTTAGGAAAGAACCTTTCCCCTTTCTGCACTTTTAGAACTAGAAAAAGTTCTGTTCTGAAAAAGAAAGGGGTCGGGGGATAACACTTTGTCAGAGACAGCCTCTTCTTCGCCCTCAAACACAAGAAAATGATCATCATTGCTCTCGCGCTTCCTCTTTCTCCCTTGAGTTTCACACAAGGATGACCTAAAAGCATCCAGAGGATGCTGTTTTATTTTTCGCTGAACTATCCATGGGTGTTATTCTTCGCTCTTTTCTGCAAAAATCGAGACAGAGATAGCGAGGTTGGATTTGAATAAATGCATCCTAAAAGCTTTTTAGATTTTCTACTCTCTACGTTGGTAAAAAAATATCGTGAGATTTAAAATAGGGAGCTGGATTGAGACAAAAATCGG